GATTATAATAACAATAATTTAATAGAAGTAAAAATCAACACAGATGTAAATACACAAGAAGTTTCTCAAAAGTCCATTAAACCACATAATGGAAAATCTATAAAAACAATAATTTGTTCACCAAACTTAAAATATGTTGCAACCTTTAGTGAAGATGATAATTCAATTGTTGGATGGTTAGTTGATGATGTACATTTGAAAAATGATAGAAGATTAGAACCAGAAACATTTTTTAGTCCTTCCAATGAATCACAACAAAATGGTCAATCATCAAATATACCAAAGATAACTTCTATAAAAACAGTATCTGACCAAAAATTTATTGTTTTTGAATCTAATCTAGATAGTTGTTATTGTAAGTTGATAAAATTTATGAAATAATTTTTTTGTTAACAAATTAATAAAAAATTTTTTTTGTATTAATAAATTAATTTATTGCTTATTTACTTTAGGTTTATTTGATTTAGTAAGTAAACGACATATTAAATTATTGAATCACCAAAAAAAAATTGATTACCAACACCCAACATTTTTAACAAATGGTGATCTATTTGTAATTTCATATGAGAATGATCAAATTTATTTATTTTCATTGAATTCAAATGAAAAAATCAGTGAATTAACATGTAAAACAACATACAGCATAATTTTACCAAAACTAACAGCTTTTGATCATAATAATAATGTTGCAAAATATTTTGTCATTGCAAATTCAAATTTATTGATCAACAACGGTATCATGATGGCTTCACAATGGGATTTAACCAAAATGAGATTTGAGTTGCAATATTTTTCAGATATTTCATTACCAAATAATTTCTATAAATATAATGATAATCATGCAATATTTAACAAGGATAAAACCTTATTAGCAGTTTATTTATATGTAGAAAAACAATTAATTATTTATTCAACAGCATATGGAACCAAGTTAACAACATGTAGGTTTCTATTTTTTTTTTATTGTTTACTATTTGTTTATTTATTTTTTATTTATTGTTTCCTTTTTTTCTAACATCTTTCTATTTTCTTAAAAATTATTCAGTTACATTTGTAAAAATCGAATGTGATGAAATGGTTTTTATATACACAGAAGACAACACAGAGCATTTATTTGTAGCATTACAAGACGAATATATTACCAACACAGTCATTTATAGATTAATGGATCCATATAATTTAAATAATTTTACTGATATAACTGAAATTTATACAAAGTATTTATTTAAAGATAATCTAATTAAAAAACATCACAAAAAAAAATTAGCAAAAAATAAAGTAATTAAAGTAATGGATAATAATTTTATTTTTTTACAAGAAATTATATCAAAAGAAATTAAATTGCCAAATTCACATCTAAAGAATTTCAACCATTTATTTTTATCACCATATATACTGGAGAGTATTTGTAAAATATTTGACGAATTATTAAGTGATGAAATTACAGATTATTTTCAAGATAAATTCGAATTAGAATCAAATAACAATCAAATTAAATGGACAATAGACCATTATGATAAAGAATCAGGTTATTTGAAATTAAAACATTTAGGGGCTAAGTTAGATGAATATGATTATTTTGAACAATGCACCCATTTCTTATTAAGGTGTAAAATATTAGAAAATGATGATTTATTATTAATCACAAGATTAGGTATGATGATATTTTCAGTAAATCTTAATGATAAAATTTATTTAAAATACTTTTGGAATGATTGTATTGAACAAGAGAAAGAACATTGGATGAGACATAAAAGTGACAATCAATATATTAAAGGTAGAATTTTAAAAGGGTTTGACAGCTTTAAAACATCAAATAAATTACCTTCACCTAATTATAACCAAACTTGTATTAGTGATGTTACTTCAGGGCAATCATTTTCTGAAGGCTTTGCCAACTTTAAAAAATTAAATAGATTACCTTCACTTAACTATAATTATATCTTTGATAATTATAACCAATCTTATGCTGGTGGAAATAACATTTCAAGGCATCCATTCAGAGATATGTTATTAGCAATATTAGAAGATATTTCTTCATTTACAATGTTTGCTGATGAAATCTTAATATATGCTTTAGATAATCATAAAGGTTCAATGGTAGAACTAGTTTGTGATAAATGTCTAAATTTTTTACAACAAAATCCTGAAATGAATCTTGGATTATTAACATTTTTAGTAAACAAATTACCAAAATTAAGTAAACATTATCCTGGGGTAGTAAAGAGATTTCTTGAGCAAACATCAATGTTATTGGATCCTTCTTGTGAAAAAATCTTTATATCAGATTTGCCAAGTCATTATGGATATTGCTATGACATTGATTCATATAGAAATAATTTTTTTTGGAACCTATATTTTTTATTTCATAATAATTATTATAAATTTACAAAAATAATTGGAAAGCATTTTGATGATTATCCAATATTTTCAAATAATTATGAAAAATATTCTTTAAGCTTAGTTGTACCTTTACCAAAATTCACAAATTATCCAAATTGTTATTCATTTTGGAAAGAATTATTATATAGACCTGAATCTAATACTTTTATTAAAATGAACAGTAAAGAATTATTTAAAAGCTGGAATGGTGAAGCTTTATTAGATTTTAAATGGCATAAATTTGCTTTAAAATATTATTTAGGAATTTGGTTATATTTTATAATATTTTTTGCATCTTTTTCATTTATCACAACTTTAAAAAATGATGTAGATAAAGTTACAAGGAACATAATTTTATTAATTTCAATCATTCTTGGTTTTTCTCATTTAATAATTGAATATAAAAGATTTATATGGAGTCCAAAAAATTATTTATTTGATTTTTGGAATTATTTTGGTAAGAATATTTATATTTATATATATATATATATTTTTTTTTTCTTTTTTTTAATGATTTTTTTTTTAAAATTAGATTTAGGTTCATATTTATTTCCAATAATCACATCTTTGCATTGGATAATAAATGATAGTGCACCTACTTGGATGATGTCTCTGTCTAATTTATTATTGGATTTGAAATTTATGTTATTTTTAAGAGCTTTCAAATCTTATGGAAAATATTTTGCAATCATGATAGGTGTTGCAAAAAAAGTGTTTTCATTTCTAGTTATTTTATTTATAATAGTTTTTAGTTTTGCTCATGCATTATTCATACAATTAAGACCAAAAGATGACTATGATTTGAAAACACCAGATATAAATTCAGATGACAACAATAATCCTTGGAATATTGTATCAAGATATTATCAAATATTCACAAATGGAACAGTAGATAATAATCCATTTTTAATACAACAACCTGAATTAAGCACAAACATGTTTGCTGAATTTTCTACATCATTGTTAGCTATGTACAACATTCTCACAGGTAAAATACATATTTATAATTAACAATTAATTAATATCAAATCTTATTATTATTTATTTTTCCTTTAATTTTAAAGGTGATAATTCAGCTCTTTCATCAAGATCATATCAACAGGATCCATATTTAAGCTTATTAATGGTAGCCTTTTCATTTTTGATTGTGGTTTATTTACTTAATCTATTTATTGGTTTATTGAGTAATGCCATTGAGGAGAATGATACTAGAGAAGCATTCTTGGCTCAAAAAGCAAAGGTGATAATAATAATAATAATTCATTTTTCTTTTCAAATAAATATATTAATTAAAAAATTTTTTTTAATATATTAATTTAGATTATTCATGAGATAGAATTATTTTATTTATTTCCACAACAATGACGTTGGCAAACATGGTTTCCTGATTTGATGTAAGTTTTCATAAGTGTATATATATATATATGTAGATACAAGTTGTTTGACAATTTTATTTAACAAGATTATTATCAACATTAGATATTATAATGTTACAGTTGAAGAAATACATCAAAAAATCCAATCTATAGATAAAAATAAAGACAAATATGAACATCCTCCTATAATCTCAGACAAATTACGTGAATTAGTAGGAATTCCTGTACAAAAATTTAAAAAGGATTTGTCAAAACAATATGAAGAAATCAAGAATGATTTTAAAAGTTTACAAGAAAATTAT